TATTATAATTTAATATAATTAATTAGTCTACCTAGTTTTTCTCTCTATTCCGTGTGGGCATTTGCCGCCACATACTAATTTAGCTGATTTTTCCCTAGGTATAATTATATAAATAGCTTTTACGTAATTATTATATAAAAATTTATATTAGCCTGGTTTTAATTATTTAATCTACCCTCGCCACAGTTAAGGGTGCTAATTACGCCAGGAGGGGTGCTAAATAAACTCTTCCATATTATAAAGAGATGAACTAGAGCTGTTAGGGTATAGCGAGACTGGGTTTAAACCGGAGAAATGTCTGTTACCTCGTATCTTACTTAGTACTTAGAAACTAAGCGCGGCATGTATAAACCGCGTCGCATTACTGCTGTCTCACTAAGTATTGGCGCTACCCCGGGGAATTCGTCTCGCACCAAGCCCCGGAGACGCACGGGATTAAAGGGCCTGGTGTTATGGTCTCAGGCTAGATAAAGCCTAGACCTAGCGATCGTAGCAATTCTGTATAGTGCTAGATTGAACAGTTACAGGGGACTTGTTCAATACGTACCCTTTTGGCTCCACGGTCAATTATAGGGCTCAGGGCAACCCCCGGGACGACTGCGGCTAGCACCCGCGATGGCCCAATCGGGCTAGTCCGTCACACCTGGGGGCGGAGTATTTATCTGCCGAAAACGTATGACATACATACAACACCTTGCAACTGCGCTATAGCCGAGTCAAGCCAGGTCTTTATTGGTAAAGTGTCAAGTCCCTGTCCATGCTTGGACGCCGTGGGCCCCTGCTGCTGCTCTGTACTCCGTACGGAGTAAAAGCCTACACTGGTCAAACATAACAATGCACGTCGACCGACTATTGCTATAGGCCCTTTTTTATGGACCCTTGTGGACCTTAATACTCCGTAGGTTCTTTTCATTTTTTTTTACCCTAACCCCCGCAAGGTATTAGGTATAGGGCTAGGGTAATTTTATAGTATACTAACTAGATTAAGAAAAACCCACTATAATTAGACTTATAGCCATAATCAGGCGAATTCCTCGAGTAGAATAACCTTATAACGGCCCCATAATACTAATACTTAAATAGTAGTAATACAGTGTAGTTTACATATATAACACTTAATTTCTAAGTACTAAGATACAAGTTACGGAAATTTCTCCGGTTTGGCTTAAAAGCCCGGTCAGGCAGGTGAGTAATTTGCCGTGCGGCGTGATCCATGACAGTGGACACATGGCACAGATAATTGCCGGTTACCTCCAGAACCTAGAAGGGGGCGGATCCGGGGTCGGGCCAGTTATGCAGCCTTGGCAGTGGGCACATTGAAGGAGAGTTAATATTCAACGTTAGTCCAGTTTGTGCGTGCGTCAGGTTCCCGGAGGCGTTACACTGCGCTTCACCTAGGCAGGGGAGAACATGACAAGGCAACGAGACGAGACAACATCATGACAAAGACGTCTAAATTGCTAACGAATCAAGAATGACGGCGACTAGAAAAGCACGACAAGTCCCCGAGCTCTTGGTAATCTGTCCATCTTGTCTCTTATCCCTCATCACCGCAACAACAACCCCCCGCTGTTTTCAACCCATGCCATGTTCATCATGAATTGAATGCCTTGACTAAAGGACTCTCCCCCCGCTTTTTACTGTCTAACCTTGTTCAAGCATTCGTTGATGCTCGTCGGTTCCTTGATGATATAGCCCGGCTCTTCTACGTAGAGGCGGCCGTCCAAGAGGTTCGCCACGAAGCCTGCATTGTTGTCCTTCTGGGCAACGAATTCCTCCAGGTTGCTCGAGATGATCTTGACGCCAAACTTGGTGTTGGGCGGCGGCGGGATAATGTCGTCGTTGTCGGCTCTGGCAGACACCTTGGCGGTGTCCGTGGCCCTGGGGTTACACTTGTCCTCGTGGCCCTTGGGCGCAGCCAAGTCGGTGCGAGTCTCCCACTTACACGGCTCGCCCTTGTTAGCCGGGATACAGAACTCATTGTTAGCCAGCCAGAACCAGTTATTCTCGAGAAGGCAGTATCTGCCGCCGTCTGGCTTGGTATACCACCTCTTGGCGGCAGGCACTTCCGTCACCGGTGTCTTGTGCGTCTCTGCCCGTGACTCAATAATCAGTGCCTGCGACTTAACAGGGTCTCCTTCCTTGGTTCTCAGGGCATAGGAAAACGAGCACTTCCTCTCGTGCTTAAGGCCTTGAACATATTCTGGTTGGTGCATCTTAACGCCCTCCACGACGGGGCCGGCGCGTAGTTCACCCTGAGTCTTATCCTCGTTGAATTTGAAAAACTCGAGAGCGGTTGATTTCAAGGCGGGGCACGTTGGGAAAAGTCCCAGACTTAATTTGGCCCCCTCGCTGTGACCCAGGCACTGGGTGTCGACATTAGGTATAAGGGAACAGGTTCCCTTAATAGTCCTGATGTATGTCCAAGTCACAATTCGACAGATACTGTTAGCAGGACACTCCTCGTTGCTCTCAACAGTATATGACCATTCAGTCTGTTTAGAGGATTCGCCGTTCTCTCCACCTGTTGTTCGCTGATTTCCGTAGACGGTTGCCGACAAGGAAGCTGAGAACAAGCCGGCATTCACAGAGGTATCAGCTGTGACGGAGGCTCCAATTTCGGTGGATTTTTCCTTATTCCATCCGAGTCGTTCCGTATCAATGACTGCCTTAGATGTGGTGATTTTTAAGGGCAAAGGCTTATCTCTGGAGATGCGATCAGGATAATCGGCGTGGGGATTAATATCCAGACTTGTTTCCTCTGACTTAACAGAGTTATGCAAGTACAGGCATTTGCGCTCCTCCGCTAGCACGTTATCCAAGTCGGCCTCCTTGGAGTCGCCGAGGGGGCCCTCCGAGTAGAGGACCCCGTTGTCAACAATCTTGCTCTTGGTGGATTCCAAGAGGTCTCGGCCGGCCGGGTCGTTGAGAACGACGGCAGCCAAGTCGAAATAAGCCGCTCGTGGTAGCACAGAGCCGTAGGCACAGGCCGCCGAGACGGACAGCGTTGTCCAGAACAGCATGTTCACCATGGTTGATGCCTGGTTGGAGTGAAAGAGAGTAATGCAAGTAAAGGTGAAATGAAAGACGAGAGAGTTTTGAGTTCTCAGTAGAGAAAAAGAGAGTTGAAAGTCTTGGAGAAAGGAGAGTTATGATTTATCAAGAGTAGATTTGTCTGGATTGTAAACCGATGCTCTTGGTGAGTTTTGAAATTCTTGAGGCAGGAACCTCGGGTATAAGTATTTCTGAACACAACGACGCCGCACTTGGTATACAGTGTCCTTCCCGATCAACATTAGAAGCGTTGATCATGTGTTCGAATCATGTCGTCACCGGTTTGTTCTCTCAAGGTGTCACCGGTTTGTCCTCCCAAGGTGGCTCAGAAAAAGAATACGAGGAGATCAAGTGCGCTATTCCGCGACGTGAGCGGGTTCGTCTAGGTCTTGCCTGCCTCGGAGCATGACAATCGTCTTGATACTGACTCGGTCTGCCATCATCATATGTTCACTGGATGAGCTCCGTCGTTGTCTCATCGATAGCTTCGACTGAACTTGACTAGTAATCATGCGCAAATATGGGGCCATGACCTTGCAACTGCGCCACCGGCTAGCGTTTAAGCTAACATGCGTTATTACCGAATTGCCGCCTTCTCGGGTGATAAGGCCGAGTAGCACAAACACGTTAAATTAAAGGCATTAATATTGATGCATGGTCGAGTCATGGCATGAAGCTAGCTTACAATAATTAAACTCCAGCTCTTATGCGCGGCAGTTGCCACGAGCAGTATACTACAGTCTCAATGCTGCATCGTGCGATGCAGAAGTGGGCGGGCCACGTTGCGGTGGATCATGACAATGATGATATTGTGCGCAATGCAACTGCCGCGCAAAGCAACTGGCACGCAATGCAACTGCCGCGCACCCGGCTGGGTAGGGTCAAGTTATATCAATTGATTGTATACATAATACGAGGCTTTCCTCCTCTTGTATAGCAACTCAACTACAGAAAGAAATTACCTCCTACCCACACAATATTCATATTCTCATCATCTTGTAGCTATGGCACTCGCTCGCTTAGCCATCATAAGCCTCTCTTGTGTCCTTTTTCTACTCTTTTATTCCAGCACTTGTGTTGCGATCCCAGTACCTCCTGGCACGAATATAGGGAATCGACAAACATGGCCAGGTACAGGTCATACTACACCTCCCGGAAAGGGTCTTAGCACACGTGCTCCGGACGAAGACAATACCACACCTGCTCCGGTCCAAGACAATACCACACCTGCTCCGGTCCAAGACAATACCACACCTGCTCCGGTCCAAGACAATACCACACCTGCTCCAGGTACAGGCAATACTAAACTCCCAACTGTTGTAACGCTGCGAATGTCCAAACACTTATACACGGGTAGAACTAGATACTGCAGCCGCAATAAAAGGCGGACTCAAAGAATTCGCAAAAGTCGCTGGTTTGGCGCCTGACGAAATCCTTTTTCGCTCCTCTGCGCCCAACTACAAGAACAATGATAAGGATCAGAAAATAACTCCAGAGACTATTGCGGCATTCAAAGAATATGGCATCACTCATGTCATCAATGTCAACAGGGAAGCCGAGAGCCAGGAGTACAAGGATGCACTGAAGGCAGCTGGTATCAAGTATACACCCATACCTGTCAAGGACTACTCCGCCCCAACTCAGAAGGATTTTGAAAAGGCCTGGGACAGTTTTAAAGAGAATAAACCCGCCGGAACGCTAGTCCACTGTGGCTTTGGCCATGGTCGGACGGGTACAGTGGTCACCAGTATACAGATGCGCTCCGAGCACGAGAGGGGGATATTGAGAAAATGGGGACCTGCAGATTACCGGAAAAACCACGTAGAACACGAAACCGTTCTGAAGCAGTCGACCGGCCAGGACGAATCGCTGGAAAAATTGCAGACTATCTTGAAGAAGGAAGGTAGAACTGCCGGTGGTCAACGAGCAAGTATCCCCTGGTTGTGTATCCTTGGTTGTTGAGTGATGGTACTAATAATAGAAGTGTACGATATTGAGGAAAAGAGCCGACTGTTATCCGATTACGCAGTCACCGGGCCCGGCCCCGGCTGATGGCGATGACGACGCCGGTATTATACCGCCGCCCACGCATCCTTCAGCGAAGCCGAAGCCAAAGCCAAATACATCCAACGACGGACAGGGGGCCGACGACGACGACGACGAGGTCATTGTGCCGCCACCCACGCATCCTTCAGCGAAGCCGAAGCCAAAGCCAAATACATCCAACGACGGACAGGGGGCCGACGACGACGACGTGGACGAGGTCATTGTGCCGCCGCCCACGCATCCTTCAGTGAAGCCGAAGCCCAAGCCAAGTACGCCCAACGGTGGACAGAGACCCGATGATGCTGGGGAAGATGACGACTCTGACGGCACTGGAACCAAGCCGAAGCCGACTAAGCCAAAGCCGACTAAGCCAAAATCCGGAAGGACGCGTCGTCACTTTGACGCATAGAAAGCGCCCGCTTAGATCGGGATTGCATCTATCTAGAGGCCTATATTTAGAATCAAATAGATTAGAAAACGTCAAAGAGAGGGTCTCTTGGCGATAGATTGTACTTGGTAGAATTGAACTTGACCTTTGTCTCAATTTTGCTTGTAGCACGCGCCGGCGCACAACTATACATGCATGTGATTTTGTGATGAAAATTACATATGTACATTACTAAAGGCTATGTATTAACGTTTGCTTGGCTATAGCTCTGCTAGTTTATAGTTTATTGGGGGTAAATGCGCACACAACCACCAACCGTCAAGACCCACAATGTCCTTTGTAAGCCGTGACGCACAACTTGTATCTCTCGTAATAATACCGCAAGTGGCAGTAATTATATACACGATTTGGCTAGACGTAGCGCCGGCTCGCACAGGCCTTTTTAATATCACGAATATTACTTTTAAGGGTAAAGTTACTTATAGGAGTAAAACTTATTAAATTTAAGGGAAGAGGCGTAAAGCCACCTTTTTATACTAGTAAAATAATACGATTAAATGCTTCCTCTGATTCTCCCTGTTATGTGAGCGTTGGAGCCGCCACACAATAGAATACTAAGGCCTTTGTCTTGCACTGAGTAGCGAATAATATTATATATAAATTAAAGCTAATTAAAACCCTAAAAGTAAAGCTTTATAAAAGAGAATTATAATATAAAAAGCCTTAATTAAATATTAATAAATTTAAGTAAATTTTAGTTTTACTATTATAAAATACCTAAAAATTAAGTTTTTTCTTAATTTTTTACTTAATTATTTTATAATTTTAAGTTTTATTATATATAAATAAAAGATTTTAATTAAAATAAGCTTTTTTTGTTATTTTATATATAAATTTCTTATTAAAAATAAGTAAGTATTATAATTATATATATTATATAGCTATTTTAATCGGCTTACAATCAGCCGCTGCGTTTAGGATCACAGCCTTGGTTAGTCAGGCTATTGACGATTTGTCAGGGTTCGTCGTGCCGGGTTAGCGGCAGATCCCTGTTTGCGCTGGTGCCCGGGATATGGCCGGTGCGGTGTTCCATGGCCTTCCGTGGAAGAATGAAGGCATTTGATTCGCCGCTGGCGGCCGGGTAGGCACTTGCATCGAGGATGGGTGTTGGAATCCTCGACAGAGACAATGCCGGCCGTATCACGCGTCGCACGGCTGGGCCGAGGCAGACTGCGAATGTTGGTGGTTCAAATTGTCGCCGGGCCATGTCGCCCGAGTGTAACCAGAACTGGAGTTGTCTCGACTCGGACGGTTAGTCGTGAGCAGTGACGAGGCTATCATATCGGCACGCTATCGTGATGTTACACGGTGTCGTTTGTGTCGCGTCTTTTCTGAAGAATGGAATGACAGTAATACCTACTCTTGTTTCAATCACATATGCATCCGGAGTGACCCTTCTGCAGCTGACGGCAGAGAGCGTGCGACCCGCGCCGACCCAGTACTTTGTCATCCACGGCGCATCTTGGCCGACTTCTTCGGCGCCGCGACGCCGTCCGGGCTCCGGAGGCACCGGCTGCACACGCATTTGACCAATTGCATTCAGCTCCGTCTTGGTTTTTCGGTCGATGGGAGCGTTTGCAAGGGAAAGTGTGACGGAATCAATTCATTGCTATTGACTTTGCACAATGATCTAATTCGTGCCCGGACTAGGCACGCAATCGCCAGGTTGAAAGCGCCAAGGCTCAGAGTGAATAAACGCAGAGGGCGTAGACGTCATGTAGCCAGTCTCATTACGTACGCGATATTCCATTACACCCCGTTTTTTGAAAGTTGTATAAGACCAATCGTTATCCCATATCCCAAAACTCAGTTCCGAACCAACTTGCGTACAGCATGCCTCGCCATCAACACCATGCCGGACCTGAAATCCTACAGCGTCCTCTCCTTGGACTGCTACGGCACCCTCGTCGACTGGGAGGCAGGCATGGTAGAGGCCCTTGGCCCTTCACCAAGTACCTTCCTCCCCAGTTTGGATACTTGTGGGATTGACAGGAAGCCCAACGTCTTGGGGGGTGAGGTGGAAGATTTGGAGGACGGCATCGCGTCGGACTTTGGCGGCTGTTGCTTGACGATTTGTGTACAACAGCTGTCAAATGGCTGGTGGTCCTGTGAATGGTATTTTGCGTGTTGGACGCTCAGCGGATTGTGCGCGCATTCCTTGGAGCAGGACTCGGCGGAACGGGCAGTGCGCATTGATGAAGGCGATAAGTGATTGCCTGTGGGAAGGGGCTACTATTTCTGTTGGGTACCTGGCCATCGCGCTTTACATGATAATATCGTGGTGTTTCAGTGTACATGTATACTTGGTGGGCAAATATTCTGCTACATATTGTATTGACTTGCACTGCTGGGCATCGCACTTGTATTCGTCTGTCTGTGCGTGACCTTGGCATGCATACAAGTGTAGAGTGAGCCCTGAAGTTGCATCCCATGATGACGGAAATTTCTTCAAAATTACCCATCAATGATCTTCACCTAGTATTATTACCATGCACCTGTTGTCTTTCGTTGTCGAATTCGGGTTACAGTGTAAGATGGCGCCTGCCGCTTCATTTTTCCACCAACGAGCGACATTGCCCCCAACGCAATAAGCAAATCGGCCCAATTTGTCTCGAAAATTAGAATCGGATTCAATCTCCCACCTATCAAACTATTGCGTGGAACCCTGTGACAGCAGCCGCAGTTGGGAGGCTTGCTGGAATGAAGCCGACGGGTGCATGGCAGCACAGCTGAAATTTTGTTCTGAAGCAGCATAATGTTGCACGGATAGCACCAGACACCATATAGATCAAATTAAGACAATGTCCTGTCGGAGACCTCAGCAGTTGGCAGAGCGGTAAAGAGCAGGTAAAAAAAGGCTAAAAAAAAAAAAAAAACTCCCTGCAGCCTCAAAGCACCAGTTCGAACCCCGTAGATGAAAAAAAAAAGAGAAAAAAAAGAAAGAAAAGAAAGCTAGCAAAAAAAAAAAACTAAAAGCTACTAAAAAGACCTTAAAGGAACCCTAGGAGAAAAAAAGACTAAATTACCAGGGTCGGTTAGCTCAAGGGATGGTGGCAAGAATAAACAGAAACAAATAACCCCGCAATTTGCGAGGTCTCCGCTTTTTGCCAGAGTAGCCTAAAGTAATATTAAAATTCGGAGATTTTTTTTTGTTTTTACTGCTAAATCTTTCACTTCTACTCTGTGGGTTATGACTTATATAAGTTATGAGTCATGACTTACACTGCCAAAGATTTGAGCTGTTAAGGTTTTCTATCGAAAGCATATTTACTTATTCTCACAGTACGTGTTTGCTGCCGGGTCTACCAATTGACTGCAACGCCAGTCTGGCCCAGAGTAAAGTTTCAAGGCTGGTCTTGGCAATTGTACTTGACATGTCTGGTGGGCGTCACCGAGGCCCCAGACTCGTTCGTCTACATGGTAGCATTTCGGCATTATCAAGGCACAATAAGCACCGTAGCCTGACAAGTTACAAGTGCGCGTTCCGGCATCAAGTGAGGCGTTGTGTCTGCTTACTCGTCCGCCGTCGCGTGAAATAGTCTCCTCTGACAGGTGGATTAATACTTCTGACATGCCGCAGGCTTGTGTGGCTTACATCCGGATTGTATATAAGAGCTGGTCATTCCATTTTGCATCATGACGTCCCGAACCATTCATACCACAGCGACCCCTTCAACTAGTCCTTATACATACCATCCTTTACCACTCAGCCACGATGCACTTCCCACGCAGCGCCGCCGCCATCGCCACCATGTCCGTCTTGGTCGCGCACGCCGCCGCCGTCCCAACGACGCAAGACGCCCGGGCAACATGCGGTAGCGGCAACCTAGATCTGTCCAAATGGAAACTCCAGCTGCCCACCGGCACCCAGGGCCATCCCACGGAAATCTCGTCCTCGGACCTCTGCAACGGCTACTCGAGCGAATTCTTCTCCATGCAGGGCGACGCGCTCGTCATGAAGGTGCCCGGGGGCCCGTCGTCGGGCAAGTGTGTCACGACGCCCAACAGCAAGCACTGCCGCACCGAACTCCGCGAGGTCAAGCCCGCGTCCTGGGACCCCCGGGCCAAGACGAACCGCCTGGTCGGCGAGCTCAAGGTGACGCAGAACGACGGCGAGATTTGCATCGGCCAGATCCACATTGACGACGCCGTCTCGACCAAGCCCGTCGCCGAGCTGTACTACAACGCCAGGGGCGACCTGGCCATGGGCGTCAACACCTGCCGGACGTGCGGCCAGAAACGCACCCCGATCGACAACGTGCCCAAGGGCCAGCGGCTCTCGTATGAGATTCGCTACGAGGGCAACAGGCTGTCTGTCAGCATCAACGGCCAGGCGTTCAAGACGCTGAGCACGTACGACTTGGATGCGCCGAGCAGCTACTTCAAGGCGGGCAACTACAACCAGGGGGAGGGTCCTACCACGGTGCAGTTTTACAAGATTCAGACGAGCCACTCTTGACATTTGATGACAATCGTTGACGGGACTCGCCTCGACCTGTTGGGCAGCGTATGAGTAGATATAAGAGCAGAGATGACGCACACCCCCCCCCCCCCCCCCCCACATTGTACCAGCGTTGAACACGCACGTCGTATATAGTTAAGAACTGCTCGTTTCCCCCATCCCTGCTGTTCCACGTATCGTGTCTGCTCCCCTCCTCTAGCAATACCTATCCAGCACCTGCTTCTCCTTTGCCGGGCTCAGCCCGACTTTTGCCGTCCCCGGCCGCTCCGCCAGCTCCGCCACCCACGCCCACGTATCGGCAATCGTCTCCCCCGCCGGCCGCACCGTCAACCCGGCCCGTCGGGCCTTGCGCCCGTCGCACGAGTACACGCCCGCGTCGTCGCCCGGCGCCAGCCACAGCGGCATTTCCACCCACGGCGCGACCCCGGCGTCCACGACCTTTTCCGCCTCCAGCCAGCAGAGCTCGGCACGGCCCCCGGCGACGCGGTTCGCCGCGTCTAGAAAATCGCCAAACGACACGTGCCCCGTCTCCGAGACGGCATTGTACGGCCCGCGGAGCCTCTTCTCCGCGGCTAGGACAGTAAACGCCGCCAGGTCGCGCACGTCGATGAACTGCAGCCCCGAGGCCCGGGGGCCGGGGGCCAGCGTCCTGCCGCCGCGCTCCATGCGCAGCAGCCACCACGGCAGGCGCCATACCCATTCTTCCGGGCCGAGGATCACCCCCGGCCTGATGAGGGTGTGGGCTGGGCCGGCGCCGGAAACGATGGCCTCGCCTGCCAGCTTGTCCCGGATGTAGGGGACGTCGGTGTCGCCCGGGTCCCATGACGGGGTGGACTCGTCGTGCGGCACGGCGCCCCTTTTGAAGTCGTATACGCTTATCGTCGAAATGTATATGTAGTGACGGACGCGGGGGCCGAGCGCGTCCACGGCGCTCTGGACGGCGGCCGGGTCCGAGGACCACGTGTCGATGGCGACGTCGAATGCGAGTCCGGCAAGGGAGGCGTACCCGTTGGGGGCGAGGCGGTCGCCGAGCTTGCTGGTGACTCCGGCTGGGGGAGGGCGCGTTCCGCGATTGAAGAGGGTCACGTCGTGGCCTTTGGAGACGGCTTCCCGGGCTGTGTGGAGGCCGGCGAACTTGGTCCCTCCGAGGATGAGCATCTTCATGGCGCCTGTTTAGAACTGCGCACGAATGTGTTGAAAATAGACTCGAGACCGGAGGCGAGACCTGCCGTTCTTATGCTATGGATATGCGTCATGTTCGGCTGCTAGGGTTCTAGGAGTAAACGGGGTGTATGCGGTGGCGCGACATGTCATTGACCATGTTGAGCGGCAGTCAACAAGGGACTTGTCACTTGTCGGGCCAGTGGCGGTGATGCCGCTCCATTGGTCTGGCGATGCTGCGATTCCATCGGTCGTCATGTTGGCAAAACAAGGCTTCTGCGTTTCAGCGTGTGCGCTGAGTAGACTGCCGCCGATGCAGGGCGATCAATGAAGGCATGCAGCGGCATGATGTGGCCATGGTGTTGAGACGACAAGCTCAGGGATGCGCTGGGCGAAACCTGTTTTTGAGAAATGGAATAAACGAGACCCGATGCCAAGACAACATCGTATGTTGAAATGTGACAACTGAGAGATGAGTTCAGACAGAGCACGGTGAGGAACTGTACGACCCTGACCCTAGGTGAAGGTGGGCTCCGGATGTCATTTCTTCATCATGGCTGTTCCGACGACCCTGAACCAAGCCTTGCAGTGTCGCTCTGCCTGCCTGTTCTACTTGGTCGGCATCGGCGTTAAAACTGATCACAATCCATAGGGCGAGGGTTAGGGGTGGAAGTTTGAATACAATACGCTCCAACCTACACGGCGCATACGGCGCCGGCTGTTGCGACTGACCCTGCTACGGGGAGAAGTCCTGGAATTTGAATCACGACAAGGAAGGCGAGCGGGTCATTAAGTGACTAGCCAAGGGGGTTACGAATCATCTTCGCATGGTGACGAGTGACGACGTACATGAGTGCCGTTCTTGGAGTTGGGTGTTCAAGTTCAGGGCTTTGTAGAGATATTGGCGACAGAGGAAGAGACATAAAATGGCGTTGCTGGCCTCGCTGCACAAGACGTCCAGGCCGGTATTGACTATATTGCTGTCTCAGGGGTTGTCACACGGTTACACAAGGGGCTACGGTCACGAGACCTAGCAAAGACTGTTATTAGATGAATTGAGTCATGTTGCTCCAAGCCTTTAGCCCTTGTCACAGGGGTCACCTCGCTGCAGGGCTGAGTCCTTGAGGCACCTTTTGACCGTTAGAGTACTCATAATCACACGTCTATAAAAGGTTCTTATAGCTGTGTCTTTTTATGTGATGCTGGTGTTTACGGCTAGCTATAATGCAGGCATGATGATGCACTCCTGTGATCACTAACGCCGACAGGCTTGACAGCTAACTGGTCCACCATATCCATAAGTCAACCTTGGCTAGACGACGTGTTCTTATAAGATTTAATGTGGAGAGTGTCGAGGTGTATATAGTATGTGACTCGACGTAATCCATATTTCTAGATGTAAATACTACAACAACTGCTCAGGGGCTAGACCAGCAAGTTCAATTGCAGATACAAAGTATTGCCTTGCGGGATCGATATTCAGCCGTTAGTTTTCTTGTATTGGCAACTGCACAGATGTTTAAATTATTTTAGATTGTGCAATAAAAGTTTATTCATGGCCAGGCTAATGTATTTTATCTCTTTGCTAC